TTAACTACAAACGAAATTAATGTTACTACAAACAACTACAAACCAAATGCTATCGATTTCTGTATTAAAAAATTAATTTTGAAAAAGTCGGGTGCTAAGTTCACATAGGTAATTTTTTGGCTTAAAATTTTACGAATCAGGAAAAGCAGTCGCTCGGAAAGCAAAAGACTCAAGTTCGTTTCCCGATTCAGCGACATCGGATCGATATTTTTCTCGGCTACAATACTTTAGGGGGGTTAAATGGGAATATAGGAATAAAAATCTCGATTTGAGATTTATTCCTAAATAAAGCCTTAGCAACGGACCAAGCAATCTTCGTGCTTCGTGCACAATTAAGAAGTTATAGCGAAAAATTAATTTTCGCTATCTGACGCACAAACATCCGAATTCGGCTCGTATAACCTATTTATTTTAAATTATACATAATGTAATGTTTATGCTATGTTTTTGATAAAATACGTTGCAACAAAAAAATTGCTACAATATACGGACCGTATATTAAAGGGACACGAAATTATACATGGTTCCGATAAAATATAATGCATTCACATCGGCTTTTTCTCAACTGTCTTGATACACTACGGAACATGAAAAGTATTATTAAGACCGTCCTGCTAAGAGCCGAAGGTCCCGCTAAAATACGTTTCAATAAAAAAATGGTCCAGCTAAACTACATAACATAAACATGTATATTTGTATTGAAGAGTAATTATTTATTTTTTATTCTTTTCTCTAAAATATAAAATATATAATTATAAATGTAATAAACAGTTATTAACATATAGAACACATATCATATTGTTACTTAAAGAACACATATCACATTGCTACATGTTTTCTAGTTTCTGTACTAATTTTATGTCAAAAATAAATTTTTTTTACAAGCTGATTGTGTAAATTAAGAGATATACATATATATGTATACAAATATATAATATAAAAAATATTTGACAACGCGTATCAAATAAAAAATACATATTGATTTAATTACCTGTAACAAAAATTTGTCTATTATCTTGCAAATAACCATTCTTAAATTATTAATTATAGAAACTTCATGGAGGTTTTTAATAATTAATAACTAAAAACTTTTTTCGTGATTGTTTATATTGTAGAAAGTTTTTGTTCAGGACTTAATCTACATATATTTTATATTCGATACCAAAGATACTCTGTATACATATATATGTAAATACTATATGTGAATATTTATTGTAAAAATAAAATTAGAAGAGAACAGTACTTTTAAGAAGTACATTTATGATGAAAATAAGCTGCATATAACTATTACATATGTACTATTCTATTCTAATGTCATTTCGTTACATTTCGCAAGTAATAGAAAACAGACTTTCATATAAATTCATTGTTATATGTATGTAGCAAATTGTTTTATGTTTGATACTATCGTCAAATATTCTACGTGTATATTTTAAAAATAAAATTAGAAGAGAACAGTACTTTTAAAAAGTACATTTGATGAAAATAAGTTGCATATAACTATTACATATGTACTATTCTGTTCTAATTTCATTTTGTTACATTTCACAAGTAATAGAAAACATACTTTCATATAAATTCATTGTTATATGTATGTAGCAAATTGTTTTATGTTCGATACTATCGTCAAATATACTACGTGTATAATTGTTTTAAAAATAAAATTAGAAGAGAACAGTACTTGTAAAAAGGTACATTTGTGATGAATATAAGTTGCATATAAGTATTACATATGTATTACATATTCTATTGTAATTTTATTTCTTTAGATTATAATCTAATTCTAATTATTCTAACAATAAGTTATAAAAACATACTTTCTTATAAACTTATTGTTATATGTATCAAATAAAAAGAAACATTTTGTCAATAATATCAATTGTGATATTGCATTTGTACTACTTATGTTAACTTTATATCTACATCAACAAGTAAAAAAATAAACTTTCTTCTAAACTGATTATTTTTACATATATAAATGTACATATGTATATGTATATATATATACTGCACATACGTATATTAGCTTTTATTGCACTTCATATAGTACTATATTTCTATCAGTCTTGTATTAAATTAAAAAATACTCTTTTAAAATTACCCAGATAGCAAGTTGCCGGCAGGTTGTTGTCAATTTGCTCGAATTATTTTGCTTAAGTTGTTTTCCATATTGAGAAAAGCGGCTTCCGATTTTGCCTATTAGATTGTCGATTGTTATTGCTACCGATAATTGTGAACAACTTGAGAGCAACTTAAGAGCAACAGTTGCTGTCTTCAGAACCGTTTGTATAAAAGTTATTGGAAATTACAGAGCAACATGACAAAAACAATTTGCGGTAACTAGTGTAGGCAACTATTGTCCGTATAATGCCTTTATGTTAATCTAAACGAAATTACTATTATCTCGATGATAGCAACATAATGACAACTGAATGAAAACTTGTGTCAAGCAACGATTTTCTTTCTTATGCCAAGGGACGCTTTGCTATCTGGGTATTTTTATTTATATATATGTATGTATACGTATATATATGTATACTATTTTTATTGCACTATATGTTGTACTTTTTCTAACAGCCTTCATATTTTTGCAATAGTCTAGTAGTCTTTTCAATAAGTTTTCTAATTGTTTTTTCCATTATATTATAAACGATATGTAGCATCAAACTAAATCAATATTATCTAAACAAACTAAACGTAATAAATGATATGCGTATCATTAAATAATAAACTTTATATAAACTATAACAAGTTTGACAACTATGTATATAATTATGTTTAAATTTTTATTCGCTTCATTTTAATACGTTTTTGATTGTGTATCCATGTTTTAATCACAGGCACGCTTCGATGTCCCAATGTATCAGAATGCTTTTTAATCAATTTTCCAATTTCATTGAATGTAGGTAATTTGTTGTCATTGGAATTTATATAATGACCAAAAGCATCTATAACGATACGTTTTTCATTTTGTGTCCATCGACTGCGACTAGATACTGGAAATATTAAAATATTTATTACATATATATACACATTATACATAATTTTCTAGATTTACATATAATATTTAATTGACATTTTATAAAATATATCAAGATTTATATTTACAGAGTATATGACGAAAAGTTTTGAATTAAAAATATACATGTAAATTAGGTCATCCAAAGCAAAAAGTTTTTTATTTTGTTTTGCAAACTATGCAAATTTCAGAGTTATTAATTAAAACATTCTTTATACATATATGGTTAAAACTTAAAATTTTTCGTGGCTTGCTAAATAATGGTAGATGACTTTTGTTCAGAATGATCAAATCTACATGTATACTTTTTACTCAAAACTTTTCGATATACACCTTAATATAAATAGAAATATATATACAGAATGGATTTTTTGACAGTTTAATCAATCCACTGGAATATTTCAGAACTCCTAAGTTTAAGACAAAAATGTTTCAAGTAAGAGTTATTTGATGTTGAAATCATCTGACGGTGATCTTTATTTGACTACATGAATCGAAGTCCTGAGGGTTATATTTCAAGGTACACTTTATTTTTTGAAATAAAATCACTATAATTTTATATAAATCGATTTCTTCTATTTTGCATAAAAAGTTATGAGTGGGATGACCATAAAGTGATTGATTAGTTTACAAGATATTTTGTATTTTATTGTGACATAATTTTTCATCAACTATGAAATATCTTGTAAAATATTTATTTTCCGATACTCTTTCCTCAATACTTTTATGCACAAAATAATAAGAGAAATTAATTGGTGCAAAGAAAACACTGTTGTTTTCAAGAAAAATATATAGCTTCTAGTTACAAATAACATATTTTTAAAAAAACGACTATGTATTTTTTTTACACCAATTGACTTCTATAAATAAAATATAAAATCATAACCTTTGTACATATATGTATATTATTATTGCAAAATAATATTTTACTTACTCTTTTTGTTTTGTTGAAAATTTTGTAAACGACGTTTCTGATCAACCACTTTTTTCTTAATATTTATCATGTTTTGATCATTTTGCATATTATCATCTAAATGATTAGTATCTGACAATATATCATTCGATGATGGTTCATCAACATCTTCATCTACATTTACATTAACAGAAATTTACATAAGTTAACAGAATTTATAAATTCTATCACAGTATTCATTGTACAATGTTATATGTAAAACTGTTTTAATTTTATCTTTAGATACTGTTCGCGAACTCAGTAAATTAAAGAGAGAGAGCGCGGGAATACCGGCGCACGTGGTCACGCGGCGACAATAGACGAGGCGGGAAATAAATCACTCGCGCTTGTAGTCAATGGTTATTCCGCACAATCACAAATGTACTAATTCGTCACGATGTTAATATACGAGATATAATACGATGACTTGAACGACTTATTATTTGATACGTTACTGATACAGAACACGTGTACACTGACTGTTACTCCAGAATATTATATACCGCGCTAATCAGATATCGATCTAAACATCAATATGATTGCTATCAATCGAATGAGCGACGCCGCGATCTCAGAGATGGCGCGTGCAAACACTCGCACGAACAGATACTGTACGCTGTTTTATTATATACATATCATCTGAAAATAAACTTAAGACAGCCTTAAATATAAAATCAAATTACTCTCTTATATCAAAGAAACCAATATGATCTTAAGTTTTAAATTAGATTCATTCCTTAATCACTACTTGACTAAAATGTGATTTAAAAAATTAAATTTTATTTGTGAAGGAATAAAGTACCTTGTTGAAAATCTCGAATGACTTTTCTAGATGCAATTTCTTTATTAATTGTATCATCGTGAGTTTCTGTAGTCTTCGCTGTATTTTCAACATCTGAAAGTTCAGAGTCAGAATCATCATTACTATCACTTTCATTTATATCGGCTCCTTGTGCGGCTTCCAGATATTGAGATATTTCTAAGATTTCTTTTTCAATAACAGGTTGTCTATAGTGAGATAAATGAATTTTATCGGCATGGCCCATAAACATTTGCAAGCGTTGAAACTTCATTTTCAGATAGATTATAATGAACACAAATTGTTGCTATATGCTTCCGTAATTCAGTCGCACGAATAGTTTCTGGATTTTCTGCGCCACTATCTACTGCATATTGCCGTAATAAATCACACGCTAAAAGATATCGGTGTTTATCTTTTTGAAGCGAAGGAAGACCAAATAGGTATGGATTCTTCGAAGAAACTTTTGCAGCCTTTCTATGCTTTAAAATCATTTCGATGCAGTCTCTTAATTCTTCTGTTAGTAAGACTGGTACCGTTCGTCCAAGTTTACCTCTGAGGGTAAATCGCACATATCTTTTAGCAATTTCTTTGGCACGTGCTGAAAGCGCTTTATACATGTCGTTTGTCTGATAATTAATACCTTGATACGCCTTATAATCCTCGATTAACGTCCTTTGTATCTCTCCGGCTCTACGACGATTAAACACTTGTACTGAAGTCAATGTAGATTTCGTAAGCGAAAGCCATGCATCATAGCAGAACTTTTCTTTCAAAAAATTATAAGCTGTTTCACGTTCTTGTTTTAGAAAATTATGAAGCTTAATAATATCTGCTTTACAGGGTAACGTAATCTTTTTACGTCTTAGATTTCTAGTCATTGTTTCTGATATTGTTTTTGATATACGTGTTGCAAAATCTTCGGTAAATACTTTCAAAAAGTCTTCAGCACGTAACTTCCTTTCCTTGTCTTCTTTTCTAATACATCGATTGATTAAAAGTTTACCCACTTCTTTTAGTAAACCTCCAAGTCCAGAAGCCAGTGAAGGAGTTTTGAAAAATTTTCCACATAAAGATAAACCGGCTAACGTATTAATTGCTTCAATGCAAGTATTGCTGTATCGGGGGAAGTAAATGGAAGCAAAATCCGTAATATCAGAATTTTTACATTTTATTACTTGAAGCAGACGACCCATTCTTCTTAATTTTTGTCTAATCAATGTATCATTGTGTTCAGATGTTTTATATTTTTCGCACTGTTGATTACCAAATGCTATTATTAGTTCGTCGTAACGGATATTTCTTACTATATCATCTTCTCGTAAAAGTGGGAAAACTCGTAATCTTAGAGCATTGCTTGCCTCATTATGTATACGTCCTATTATTTGTCTTCCTAAAATTGATATTGATCTATTATCTTTAACTTTAATCATTTCTTTAATGCATCTTTGATAGTGATGTCTGCTTGTAACTTTTAGAATGAAAGCTTTACATTTTGGACATACGACGTATTCAGAAGGTATCCTGTTGTATTCTTTCTTTGAACGTCTTTCTACTAATAATTCACCATCATTTCGTGCACAATCGGTATTAAAATAGAAATCTCCACGTCTACGTATCGTTTCTAAGATCTTTCTTCGTTCTGCATTCCCTTTTGGCATGTGTTTAAATTTTTGAACTTCTAATTCATTCGCATGTACTCTCTCAAGATGACGAGCTATTTTGCTCTGAAACGTATTGCAATACATACAGAAATGCTTCTTGTTTCCTGCACCAACTGATGTAACAAACATTTCAGTGTCATCCCGAGCACATTTCCCAGATACGTTTAGTGACATTGATATGTCTAATCCACTAGAAGTATTTGCCGAACTGTTAGTTTCTTTAGCAAAAGAATTTCTTGTCTGATTCATCACAGGTTGAACGAAACTTTCATTAGACGAAGTGTTTGATGGTACGTAAGATGGATCCTCATCGCTAACATTTTCAATGTTGTCTTCCATAGTATTATTATCAAGACACGCTAAAAGAAGAGAAAAATATGCATGTTAAATAACAAAAAAAATTATAGATTTTTTAATACGTAAGAAATTATACAGAATGCTTCGTTAAAAAAGATTCACACAAATATTTCAGAAACTTTGTTATTTTAAAAAGTAATTTAAGTAAAAGTTATTTGTTGTTGAAAGAGTCATCTGATGGTAATATTTATTTGATTTTGCATCAAAATCCAAATGTTATTTCAAGATGAACTTAATTTTTTAAATCACTGTAAATAATTTTATATCGATTCCTTCTAATATTTGGAATAAAAGTTGAAGGATAATGTGATCAAAAAGTGAATAATTTGAGATATGTTGTACTTTAATATGACAATTTCACATAAACTATAAGTTCTCGTAAACTATTAACTTTTTGGTCATCTTACTCTCATAAATTTTTATACCTAATATTGCAAAAACTTAATTTATATAAAAAAATAATAGTGAAGTCCGTTTAAAAAAATTAAGTTGACCTTGAACTAAACTTCTGGATTTTGATCTAAAGTCAAATAAAGATCATCAAACGAGTTCCTTAACATCAAATAACTTTCACTCGAAATATTTTTTAAGATAAAGCAAATAAGTTTCTGATATATTTCTGTATATCTTTTAAAATGGGTTACTCAGTATGATTCATATAGTTAACGAGATGCTAGACGCCAGTATAATTGCTTTTCTAATTTACTCTTTATTTATTATTGGTTAAACATACCATTAGAGGAGGTGAATAGTTTTCAATGTGAAAATATAAATGCAAATGAATGGAAGGCTATCTAATATTATAAAACTCAACAAGAGTTTTCATGTAACTTTGGGCAGTCTTCCATTCATTAGCGTTTGTATTTTTAGTGTTAAAAAACCAGAGTAACTTTAAAAGCAGTTATTTCTGAGTTAGCATCCCTTTAAAGTTTCAAGATATTTACTATAACCGTCCTCGTTTGATGACGTCAGAAACGAGAAATCGCATTCAAAAGTATTGCAGTATATATATCTAATAAATAAAAAATATATATAGAAATAAAAGGATATATCCATAAACATTTGCAATCGATTTAGCAATTTGTGAAATGTTCTTATGAGTATCTTTTTTGCTGTGTTAGTCAATAAAAAATTGTAAAATTAATGTAACATCAAAATCATGCAAAAAGATCAAACAACTTTCACCTGTTGTTATTTATTGATTCTTATAGCAAAAATTACATCTTACAGTAATGAAAGTTTTTGGAGCATTTTATAAATTCATTGAGTTGATCACATATCGTATTACGGATATACTTTTTTATGTCAATGTATACAGTAAGAAGTTCCAGCATGTAATTTCTTGCTTCTGACGTCATCAAAAAATAAAGAAGCCTTAATTACCAATTAAATATATGTATACATAAGCATTTTAATTATATTAAAAGAAGATAATTTATAAATGAAATATACTTATATTAAAACAACAAAATTTGTTGAAAATATTGAATAAATATAACAAGATCGTATCTTCTTTAAAATTAAACAGGTGCAGACAGATTCTAAGCAAAGTCTGTTATAAATTTTTGATGTCAAAATGGTAACTTTAACATAAGATCAGGTTCTATCTGACGATTTTGCAAAACTGTTGCCAAAAATCTGACATAGCCAGCTGACATTTTAAGTGCAAATCAAGCAAATAGTTATAAAAAATATATTTTTTTTCTAACCTTCATTGAGATTTCCATCGTCATCCTGAATGCCTATATCTGATATGTTTAATGATGTAGATGACATGTTATATTCTTTAGTAACATACTTTGTTGTCTCATCTACAGATTGAATAAAATTTTCTTCTGTGTTTGATACATAAGGTGGATTCTTATCATAAATATTTTTTGAAATGTCTTGTATAATATTATTATTATTGAGGTATGCTAAAAAGAGTAAAGAATAAGGATTAAATATCACAAAAATTATACATTTGATTTTAATATATTAAAAAATTGATATTAATATATAAAAAAATTATATTATTTACATCAATAATTAATAACACAAGTTGACAATTAAAATTTTTTTTGGACTATCTCAAATAAGCAGGATATCTTAAAAGATTTTTGCACGATGAAATCAAATTCAAATTTGTCTATTAGACGTAACACTTTTGACTAAAATTTCGTCGAAGGTTTCAATGATTTTGAGATAATTTATAACATTATAAATAATAACAAATAATTTTTAGCGCTCTGCTATGTTAAATAACAAATTTAAAAGATAGTAATCGGCGACACAGAGCAACCGCGGATGTCAGTGCGCGAAGACCGCGAAAATTTTGATTTTTCGCTGTCTTATACCTGTGCACAAGGCACGAAATTTCTTAGCAATATATCGAAGAATTATTTAGGAACAATCTCTTGGTTTTTGAGATCTTAATTCCTACGTTCTTTTTACCCCCCTAGAGAGATGTAGACAAAAAAATATATCGGTCCGAAAAAGTCGCTGAATCGGGACATTATAAATAATACTTTTGCGTGTGGCATTGATAAAATTAAAAAAACTTCTCTTTTAACGAAATTAATAAATTCGGTTTCAGCGCGCAAATATCCTTCAGGTTTACTATATCCAGTACGAGATAGTACGAATAAAATAAAATTTGTTGGCTTGTGTAACCAAATACATAAAAATTTAAGTTATATTGAAAAAGATTTAATAAATCAGTTATTTTTTATATTTAAATTTAAATAACAGAATAAATTATACAAGATCGCATCTTGTATATTTTCTGCTTTTACATTATGTGTTATTGCAATTTAATATAAATAAGAAGTCAAGAACGATGGAAATTACTTTGATAGATTGATGATCAGATGTATCATGTATTTTTCGTCCTCTGTTGAAATTGGTTTTCTTTGAGATATATAGCTTACTTAAACAACATAGAATTAAAGAGAAATTTAGAATTTGCAAAATATCTAAAATAATTATTTTATATAGTACACATCTGCATCGTGCATGGAATGTATAACAAAATATATTATATATGTTATATATGTTAAAACTTAAATCAAGTATAAAATTCTTAGGTGTACAATAAAAGAAATATAAAGAGATAATTATATTTACCAAATATTTAGAGATGTATTTTACATACAAGTAATAATAGCTATTATAATTATATTTTAAATATAGAGTGAGTGAGCAGTTTTTTAAAACATAATGTGTATATTTGTACAAGAAAATTATAATTATTTTGAAACAATAACATACCTGTAGTGGAAACAGGTGCACTTATTTCAGAATGTTTAGAAATTTTATCTTCTACAATGGTGGGTTCAAATAAGTCGCAATCTTTATATACTTCCAATACATTGCCATGCCAGTTACATGAACATTTATCTAAAATTATATATATCATATACAATTCATATTAAAAGATAAAAGTAAAGATATAAATATACTGTTAATCTATAAGTAAAGAAATAAACATATTGTTATATAACAAAAGGATCCACTACAGCTAAGTATAACTTTTTACAAAAAGAAAACTATATAAAAATTACGTAGAGAAACTAAAACAGAGTTTATTTTTACAAAGATCTAAATATCTAAATCAATCAAGTCCAATGCAAAATGGTATGGATGTTCTGACATTAACATTCACCAATAATCTTTAGATGTATTTTTTGAAATAGTACAGTCAATTAAGCGGTAGGAAACAGACCCATAGATATCTATTTCATTTTAAGAGCAGGCTGAATAACTCAGTGCAGTTTAAAAATAATTTTGTGTTTATTACATACCTTCATCGAGATTTCTTACTTCATCCTGGATATCTATGTCTGATATATTTACTGACGTTGATATGTCAGATATATTTAATGACGTTACTATGTCTGATGTATTCAATATTGATAATAGACTAGAAATATTTGCTGAGCTATTAGTTTGTTAGCAACAGAAATTGTTGTCTGATCTATCACAGGTTCAACAAAATTTTCACTACATGATTTATTTGATGATACATAAGATGGATCCTCATTGTAAACATTTTTTTCAATTTTCTCCCTATAGTATTACTTTTAAAAATCCTAAAAAAGGAAAAAATGCACATAAAATATGACAACATTATTAGATTTTGACAAACATTATAGAATCTATAGAGTTTGTGCTAATCAGTCAAAAAAGTACGACTTTATTCGTGTAATTAAGTATTAATTAAATACATTATTTCAATTAAATTAAGAATTAAAATTTATTAAATACAGATAATTAGTAATCTAATTGCATGCAGTTATAGAAATTAAATTTCTTTTGTAACCTCATTGAGATTTCCATTGTTATCTTGGACATTTTGTCTGGTACATTTATTGACATTGATATATGTAATCGATTAGAAGTATTTGTTGAATTATTAGTTTGTTTAGGAACAGAATTGTTGCCTGATCTATCACAGGTTCAACAAAATTGTTATTTGATGAATTATTTGATGATTCATAAGATGGATCCTCATCGCAACATTTTCACTACTGTCTCCATAGTATTACTATCAAGACATGCTAAGAAAGAAAAAAATAGTTATGAATATAAATATGAAGATAGATATCTCACAAAACTATAAATTTTGTTCTAATAAGTAAGAAAATATGACACCATTATTCGTATCATAAATTATTACAATAATTAAATATATTAGCATTTCAATTAAATTAAGAAAATAAACATAATACATATATATAATATAACTAACTATGACAAACTATGACTAACTATGGCATAAGAAAATATAAGAAACGTCGTGAAATTAATAAAAGTTTATTGGATGTTGGTCGATTATTTGATATTCCTTATTTTATTGACTAGCAATTGCGAATATTTATAAAATATTAAGTTATTTAAATATGGCTGCTTTTGCGAGAGAATGATCATGATCAACTGCAGCGCAGGATTAAAATAAATCCAGATTAAATTGATCAATTGCAGCGCAGGATTATTTTAATCTGTATTTTAAATCTATCGCAAAAGCAGCCACGATGATTAACAATAATAATTTGTAGTAATATAAAATAAACTATACAAATTATTTATTCAAATAAATTTCCACCTTACCTTCTTGATTCTGGATTTGAAGCAAGTTTTGTTTTTGTGCACATTGGGCAAAGTAACACGTTGTAATATAATTTTAGGTACACACAGGTTAGTTAAAGAATGCTTAATATCATTAAGTACAGTAATATTTTCTGTAATAAACAATAGAATATTAAAATATTAATAAAAGATTTTCAAATAAATAAATTAATGATTGAGAGAGAGAGAAAGAGGAGAGAGAGAGAGAGAGAGAGAGAGAGAGAGAGAGAGAGAGAGAGAGATACGACAAATCAAATAGTTTATTTGGCTATTTCTAATCTCTTTTATGATATATATAGGATACATATACTTACTATGTTGTGCTATGATCCGACAAGTATACTTGACATTTTTATATTTTGCCACACATTCATTTTTATTTTTTTTAACGTTTCTGATTTACAAATATGATAGATCCCATCATTGAATAATACGAGAGCAAACATTGTGTATGTTTCTTAATACATAGTACGATACATGTGGCAATATCTATATATTCCTTTTCCTCCTTTTTATAAGCACCTATTTTTTATATTGTAATAAATGGTATTGAAAGTATTGCACATTGTTATAAAACATTTACTAATGTGATAAAGAAGTGTATATGAAAAAAAGAATAAAAAAGAATGTAGATATTTCCGCGTGTACTATATTTATGTATTAAGAAACACACGCAATGCTTTTTCTATTGTTTTATAACAATACTCAAAATAATTGTAAATTAATTACCACTTCAGATACAAAAAATTTATTGAAATCGTTATCTAATTATTAGATTACCTTCATATAATTTTAAACAAACACTAAATGACCGTTACCACCGACGATGAGATCTCTTGTCTCTCGTCGGTGCCGTTACTAATTTGTTATTAAGGTCCGGTTTTCATAGACCGATCTCAGAACCTATGTGAACTTGGCATCCAATTTTAAGACTCGTATTCATAATCCGTTCTTATATTAAGATCGTCTTAAGACATCGTTCAACCAATCAAGAGATGCTATGCGGCCATTTGATTGGTTGAACGAGGTCTTAAGACGATCTTAAATATAAAAACGGACTATGAATACGGGCCTAAGAAAATGTATTTTTTAGAAATGCATTCGATTAAGGATGTGTAGGAGATACAATCGGAGACAAAAGCACCAACACTATTCATCTTATAGAAAATCTGTACATGTTATAAGAAATTGCTATAGTTTAATTGCCTAAGTTTAGTTTTTAGCTGTTTCCAGCGTGACATAACGAAAGCTCAGAACAGAAATCGGAGAAAAAGCCAGAATGTCAACAAATTATTATTATTTGTTCTAAATAATTTAGTAAATCCTATTAAATTTTGCAACATTATCCCTTAAAAATCCAATTATACTGTAAAAATTTTGAAATACATGGTATTTTTTCATTTTTTCCATATTTTGACGTAATTTAATAGATCCTAATAATGATTTTTTATAAGATATGTAAAATTAGCAAAAATTTAAATTACAATACTTTTAAATGAGTTAGTAAATTAAATTCAAATTTTAACAGTAGCTTTAGTATTAAAGTGGAAACGATTTATATATTTATTTATATTTGATGAATTTTGTTCCATTTTTAAATGTCTCCTATACATCCTTATAAGCATTGTTTGCACTTGTTTGTACCGTCTTGATTTCGTTGTACCCGAAAAGATTGCAAGTTATAAGAGTTAAAAAAATCGTCAGCATCTCATTTTGAGATATTGTAATTTTTTTAATGCGGTTGATTCAGCATTATTTGTGCCCGTTTGTATTGCGTTTCGTTTCTCACCCCATGGGGGTGAAAGTACCAAATTTTCTTCCATAACCATAGCATAAAATTAGCGTAGACCCTGCGGACAATAGGCAAAATATTGAGAAATAAATATTAAATATTAGGAATAAGAATTATTTTTAATATTAGGAATAAGATATTTTTAAGAATAATAAAATCGAAAAGACGGATATATAAGAATACAAATTCGGGTATAAGGACTTTTATTAGCTTATATGCTCTTTTACTAGTCCTTTATATTTGAATTTGTTTTTTATATCATTCTTTTCGATTTTTTACTCCACACTATTTCTTATTCTTAATATTTAATATTTATTCTTATATTTTGTTTATTGTGCGCAGGGCTTAATCTAATTTTATGGCTATGGTCCTGGTAAAATACGTTGCATTTAAAAAATTACTAAAATACGCGGACCGTATATTAAAGGGACACGAAATTATACATGGTTCCGATAAAAATACAATGCATTCGTATCGGTTTTATCTGGACTGTCCTGATAAACTACTGAACATGAAAAATATTATCAAGACGTCCAGCTAAGAGCCGAAGGTCCCGCTAGAATACGTTTTCAATCAAAAAAATGGCCCAGCTAAACTACGTAACACAAAATATATATATATTATATATATATATATATTATATATTGTAACGAAGCACCTTTCCCGACGCCACGGATCGGCTCGACCGGTGCCAGGATCGGGAAGAGGGGAGACTCAGATTTACAATGACACACGGTTGCTCTGGTAAATGTAGAGTTTATTCGGGGCCACCTTCTGTGGTTCTCCCGTGATTCAAACCATTATACACAGCACAGTATAATCGGACGAAACGCGACCAGATGATACGGACGCGTACACGACTTATTGCTAGGATTGACAGATAGAAATATTACGGACGAGACGCGACCAGATTATACGGACGCGGACACGACTTATTGCTAGGATTGACGGATAGAAATATTACGGCGAGACGCAACCAGATTATACGGACGCGGACACGACTTATTGCAGGATTGACGATAGAAATATTACGGACGAGACGCGACCAGATTATACGGACGAGACACGACTTATGCTAGAGTTTCCAACGCGGACACGCGTACGGGCGCCCTGAGAAGGGCGAGCTCCGTCGGGCGCCGGTGACTTTCAGGTAGGACCCGGTGAACGAGGACGCTCGGCCTGCACGACGAGAACGCTCGTCGGCCGGGGTGTTTTACGGACAGGACCCGGTGACCAAGGACGCTCGGCCTGCACGACGAGAACGCTCGTCGGCGGGGTGTGATTTATGGACAGGACCCGGTGACCGAGAACGCTCGGCCTGCACACGAGAACGCTCGTCGGCCGGGGTGATTTACGGACAGGACCCGGTGACCGAGAACGCTCGGCCTGCACGACAGAACGCTCGTCGGCCGGGGTGGGTTTTACGGACAGGAACCGGTGACCGAGGACGCTCGGCCTGCACGGACGAGAACGCTCGTCGGCCGGGGTGATTTGGAGTGTGGGAGTTGAGGAGTGATCCCTGAGTACGCTCGAGGGACCAGGGACGGGAATGTTGCCGAAGTCTCGGCTGCGCCGCTCTTTATACCCGTCGGCCACCCCACTCTAAGACTAGCTTGGAGGGGGCCGAGTGACGGGTGGGGGCGAAAAGGCGGATTCCAACGTGTTTGTGTGGTGGCCCCGAAAGGGGCCGTTTACATGAGCGCGGGCGACTAGTGACGGCTAATCGGGTCGTCACAATTATATAACCGTATCGCGCGGACTTCGCAGCGAATATCAATTCGTCGCGTAAGGAGAAAAAGTCTCCTGCGGATATCGGTTCCTTCGGCGCGATCTCTCCGTCCGATCACAAAAAAAAATTATAACAACAAAAAAAAAAAAATAAAAAAAAAAAACTAAAATCTCGATTTAGTTGGGCGCCAGGTGCGGCAGCCGCACCGTCTCTCATTAATAAATTCGCGGGAAGCTAAGTCTTGATTTACTCGGATTTATTGTCCCAGCCCTCTCGCGGGCG